TGTATATATATATATATTTGACCAAAAAAAAAAAAAAATCAAAAATGTCAATTATGATCTCTTTTTGGACAAAATATTTCAATAGCTTAAATAGCAACATGCATATTTTGAACAATTTGAGGCCAAAACTAGGTGTCCGTGACCAATGGTTATACAGGTATACACATACTATAAGGTCCTTTGTGTCAAAGGTCAGAAATGTCATTTCTGGTCACTTTTAGAAAAAAATGTTGCATTAGTGCAAATAGAGATATATATGTTCCGAACAAATTGAGGCTAAACTTAGGCCTCTATGACCAACGGTTAAGGAGATTTAAATATCCTACAGGGTACCTAAGGTCAAAGTTTATAAACTTCATTTCCGGCCACTTTAGGACAACATGTTGCATAATAGGAATATGCATGTTCTGAAACATTTAAGGTCAAAATTAGGTCTCTGTGGCCAACCGTTTTTTGAGATATGGATGATGCTGGATATCTAGGGTCAAAGGTCATAAATGTTTTTCTGGTCACTTTTGGGCAAAATTTTACATTAGAGCAAATAGAAACATGCATCTTCTGAACATTGTGAAGCCGAAACTAGGTCTCTATGAATAACAGTTTTGGAGATATGGATATTCCGGTTCACGTAGGCTCAAAGGTCTAAATGGCATTTCCGATCACTTTTGGACAAAATGCTTCATTAGAACAAAAAGCAACATGTATGTTCTCAACAATTTGAGACCAAAACTTAAGTCTGTACGATTTTCCATTGCCAAGATATATGGATCCCGTCTTTTTGAGGCGGTCATTTTAAATTCAAAATGGCGGCCATAGCAGGCGTCAGAACCTTGGCACACATTTTTTTTTAAATTCACACATATTAAAGATATTTTGTACCAAGTTTCATGCTTTGGTAATAAAGTGCACAACTTGGCCCTTAGCTGCTCTACTAAAATGCGCAACTTGGTGCTTTAGCTGCTCTACTATAGCAGTTAACTAGGGTATTTTCAATATCCTAAGGATTTAAGTCAAAGTTGCCGGTACAGGTATTCAAACCTGACCTCCTTGTTGTTTATGCAGAAACCTTAAACTGGGCCATTGAGGCTTCATTGGGAATAAAAATAATTTATAGAATTACGACAAGATGGTTTGCAGTTTACCTTATTGCACCATGATTGATTTTGAAAATATTTTTCAGAGATCCCATCTTGCCATTCAAATGCATGACAAGGATGTATTGATCTCTCTCATTTGCTAGAACTAATGAACTATGCGTGTGCAAAGTTTAGTGAAAGATTAGTTGCCTTTATCGGATATAAATTTCCAATGAAGCCTCAAATGGCCCTGTTGGTTAAGGCAACTGCCACTTCTTTTCACACTTGAAAATTCCATTTTTCAACATTCAAAATGTATGTATTATCATTACCGCAGGCAAGTTTATATTTTATTTTCATCCTCTATTTGCAATGGTTTTTTTCAATGTAATTTTATTTCATTTCAAATTTGTCACAGAAAACTTAATAAATCAACACTATCAGGGATGGATCCAAAGATGTCCTAAAGGTGGGGGAGACCGATATAGACCCTAGGGGGTCGGGGTATTCCCCGGAAATTTTTGTTTTCTAGACGCCTGGAAATAACCTCTGAGGCATTTTGGGCGATTGGTAATTTTTTTCTTCTTTTTTTCTCCTTTTTTACTTTCCAAAAGGGGACTCGGGAACGGCCATCCCACCTAAATCTGCCCCTGACTATCCTATCAAGATGACCACAAAATTCAAATTATTTTTTTTACAAATTAATTTTGTACATCAATTAATTTCAAAATTATACATAACTTACCAATCATAAAATGTTCAAACTTTGACACTATTTCATCAACTCGAACATATGCGTTGGTCTCTACCAACCGGATTTCTTCCTAAAATTATTTAATAAAGAGGAATATGGTCTTAACACTTAATGTGGTCTTAACACTTATTTTCTCGAGCTGTTATTCAATTTCAATCAAAAGGATAAGCACACAAACATATACAATACAAACAAAAAAATGAATTAAGTGTTTCACAAAATTTTTAAAATGGCTTGGTAGTATAGTATTAGAATTAATAGTAGTAGTAGTAGTAGTAGTAGTAGTAGAAATGGATAAGCACACAAACATATACAACACAAACAAACAATGAATTAAGTGTTTCACAAAATTTTTAAAATGGCTTGGTAGTACAGTATTAGAATTAATAGTAGTAGTAGTAGTAGTAATAGTAGTGCTATGGCAAACAGGATTGCAGATGTCACACTTTTAAGGCATATAACAGACAAGCTTCTGGAAACGGGAAGGTGCAGATTACTTTGTACCCAGCATGCGACACCATACTAGAGGTATGTCTATCCTCAAGTAGGTATACATCATGCTTCGAGGAAAGCATTAAAGGCAGTTCCAAGACGCATAAGGGAGTTCAACTGCAACTGATCTGAACTACTTGGTCGTAAAAGTACTCTGTGCCACCAGGAATCTGCTCACCTCAGCCAAGAGTGTGTGATACCCTCTGTGCAATGGGTATCCCACCTTAATACACATTTCATGCACACTACCTGTACAAGCACAAACAACCTTATCAAGTCCTATGGTGATGGGCAACTTGTGAATGTGGCAGGTTATGACATTGGAAGATGCTAACCAGAAGCCTGCACATAGGTGGCATGGGACACTGGTCACTTCGTTGTAGATTAGCAGTATTATGTTTATTAGCGTCTCACCCTTTTACAAAGGCCTGCCAATACTGGCTTATGGGTGAATCTTCATTATAAATAACAATGATCTACTGTTTGTGCGTTGTCATGTTCTCGATAGCATTTCGCCCGCCAATGGTGCAGTTTACGCCCAGCTTAGTGTAGACAAGGAATAAACTGAAAAATCACAGATTGCTTCGCCATGACGGACAGAAGTTGGTTCTTCACTACATATTGTATCATTTACAAGATAGAAAATAGCACACACTTGAATCACCTAACTGAAGGCACTAGACTAAGGACTGGGTTGCAGGCTTTCTTTTCATGGAGTATTCTTTAAAGCTTACAAAAATAATTGAAAAACAAAAGGGTAGAGTGTGAAATTTTCTTGTTGAAACATTGATAAAGGTTAAAATAATTCTCAAACCAGTAATGCCCTTATCTTAAAAAAAAAACAAGACAAGACAGGGTTGTAGGTAAAAAACTAAGAGTGGGTGATAACATTGGAAAACTTTAAATAATAAGAGTGGATTTTAAGAACGGAAAAGTTAGTTAAAAAGGGTGGGCGGAGGGCCATGAAATTAGCTCTAGACTGGGTTGAAAACTTCCAAGTCTGGTTGGCCTCGCCCACCTCAACTACATCCCTGTGTACATACATGTAAGAAACTCTGCAAGTTATTTACTGGTTAATTATGTAAAAAATTTAAATAATGTAAATCATTATTCAAACAAGGTAAAATAAAATAGAAATAAAGAAAAAAATTGTCAAAAAAGTCAAACAAGGTATAATAAAATATAAATAAAGAAGAAAATGTGAAAAAAGGTGTGCCCTTTTAATTTGGCTAATTATAATGCGTTCTTCATATTCCTGATTTAAGAATTTATTCTGAATCTGTTATTGTATAGAGTATATTTGTATAGTCACCTCTAACTATCATATTTTACAGTATTAGCTGAAAAAGATCTAAGAAAAAAAACACCCAAAGGCTTACAGAAATGACAACTGGCTTCTGGGTATCCTTGTGTAATTCAGCCCCACCAGACTCGTTTTTCAATGTGATCCCTTTGCCATGGCTTGAGATGATAAAGAAGAAACTGCTGCTGTTCTCGGCATCCTTTTTTACATCATCAATGATTTCCCACAATTCTTCTGGTGTCCGTGTGTCTTCAAAGAATTTAAACGTAAACTCTCTATCTTTAAAGAAACGACTAATGTTGCGTTTGTCTACTAGTACACCTTAAAGATAAAAATTGACTTATACTTAATATTCTGTAATTCTTTTCTGACAATTACAAAACAAACTTGACATATTTTATGTAAAACAAATGCGGAACTTTCAAATATCGTATTTACTAAAACCACTATGCAATTTATCATAAACTCTACAAAATTAAATGTTTTTTTGGCAAATCAAAATCCTCATTATTATTAATATTATGAAGAAGGTACACACATAAGGTATAATATAAATTTGATAATTTGATTGTCTTTGTACTTTCCTCTCAATTGTTGTCATTTGATTGTATTTTACTGTATGTGTTGCTGGGCCCTGGGGGAATAACAGTGTGTTTGTACTGATCAATCAAACCAGGGTAAAGATAAAATAAATAAAAAATAAATAAGTGTCACTTACCATCTCGAAGACGTCCTCTATCGTCTCTTTTATTAACAAAGATTGAGATATACACGACATATCCCTTACCAGTAGGATAACAATCGCCTTGGTCTTTGCGAACAGAAATCCCAGGTGTATTGGTTAAACCAGGAGATGTTACATACGGTTCTGCATCCATAGCTAATATTGAATAAATAAAGCAAATGAAATTTAATAATAGTAGTCAGTAAGTTTCAAAGGGGGTTCATATTTTCACATCATTGGGCCACATTCAACTAAGCCTCGCAAAGATTTTTAAAAAATGCCAAATTTCAAATGTCTTGGAGTTAATTTCAACAAGAAAATTCTGGAAAAGGGTGATCTTGAAGCCCCTGGCTAAGGGCTGACCAGCGTCATAATATAAGCTCTGTCGATGTCATAGTCATCATCATCATCTGTCGATGTCATAGTCATCATCCCTATAATCAACACTAAAAATAGTTATGTGATTTGTATCTTTAAAAAGCTTATAACGCTATTAATGGGCTGGAGAAGTACAGTAGTTAAGTCTCTGTCGTACTGTACTGTTTATTACCCTGTCTCTTATACACATCTAGATGTGTATAAGAGACAGGTGTGTGTGTGTGTTGTCCGAAAGCTCTGGTTCTATTTCTGGCTGTTTACTTACGTTTACTTTTTAGCTGTTGCTTATCATTTTTGTATC